CTTCTTCTTCTTCTTCTTCTTCTTCTTCTTCTTCTTCTCCTTCTCCTTCTTTTTTTTCATCTTCTTCTTCTTGACCCTAGATCTGCACACAAGGTCTAAAGTTTACTTTTAGCAAAGACATAATTTGACTCTTTGACCCTTCTCACCGAGCTGTGCGCTCTTAAGCTGTCACACTGTGTCAAAGAGCCCACGTTTAAAGTAAAGTGATACCCCAAGCGGGTGTAATCTGAAACAATCTACGCCCTTTTCAACAGAAAACTGCCATGTATTTAAGAAAGCCACAACACCTCAGCGTTGGTTATAAGTGGGGTCAGTACTCAGACCTTATGACCTCTCTAGGAACCGATGAAGATGAAACTTCTTATTGAAGTCCTGCTTCTTTCAGCAGCTGTCCTGACTGGAGTAGATGGTATGGTACAAACAATTACCTAAATCTCTAGAGTCTAAAACTAATTTGGTACACAACTTGTATCATGATGATCAGGGCATCCGTTAAAGATTTCCATTTACAATAAGTAATCCGAATATAAATCACTGTTTACTGCTCTTGGTTGTTTCTATTCCCTCTCTTCTTCCAGGTGACTACCACGGCACACACCTTTAAAAATAGTTTGGAGTGTAATTTTCTTGCTTTTACAATTTAATCTTCATATTTATCTCATTTAGTGGGCCATTTTAGTTTACCGTGTAAAAATCACACATTTCATTTTCTATAACTTGCTTATTTTAGATAAAACTCAGAGGAAAATGAGACTGCAAAATAGAACTTGCTGAGCTGAAAGGTTATTTAAGAGGCGGAGACTCCGAATGTAAATTCCATCTCCGAAAGTACCAAGCCAAATCGTAAATTGCATGTGAATACTCTTTCCCAAGGACACAGTATTGGACCGAATTGAGCCTCGAGACCCCCCCAACTCCTGCAGTCTCGCGATTATGAATCCGGTAGCCGATATCGCTTTCTCAGAAGACTGCTCCTGTGTGATCACTTACAGAAATAACAGGATTTATTATTTTTTTAACGCCTTCTGATGTTTATGCATCTATAAGACTAACGGTGGGTTCCACCGGCTGTAAGGTATAGAATAAACGCGCTGGGCGGTGAATCAATCAACATGACAGCCAAGTATTGAAATTAGAATTGGAAGCCTGATTATTTTTTTTAAAACGTAGGTTTCTACACCACCGCCAACGCAATTTAGATATTTAGGAGGCACGCGTCGACCCTGCCTTCCACGGACAGTCTGCGCTAAAGAGGGACACGAATTCCAGCTGTAAGACTGAGACACTCATTGAAAATTCTTCCCTTTCGGAAATCAAATTTGTACCTCTTGCGTGCAAAGGCAAAGCGCCTAATCGCTGCACCACACACGCATGTTTAAATTCCCTATTGAAGTACTGACACAGTAAGTTCAATAAATAAGCGTATGAAGATTGTAAGCTCTCCAGAAGGGATATTTAAACCGAAAACCTCTTTTTCATTCTTTCAGCAAAATGCCAAAGTCCATTCAGCCTTCAGGAAGGCCTTTGCATTCAAGCTCACAGAGGGCAGCAGAGGTAAGACAATTGAATGTTGACAGGGTGCGTGGTATTTGTGATTTGGTACAGCTCTTGAAGTAGTTCTGACATTAGTCTGTTTCTCTTTTGATATGCCTTTTTCAAACCAAGCGACACACTAGGCATGAAACAATGAGCCTACAGTTCAACTGACGAAACGTTCAACATAATAAAATCAAACAGGAAAGCGACCTGGTGAGAATGATATGGGCATTTTCAGAAACGATGGAAGATTCCGACGCTGCACTCACAAAGACTGTTGAGGAGGCAGTTGCCAAGGATGTTTCCTGCGTGTCACTGTTGAACTGGTTTCTGCAAAGAAAGAAATGCCCCCGAATTGCGAAATATGCATTTACATAGATGTCTATAGACAATACGATTCTGCCGTGACACTTTTTGCCGAAAACAACAACACTTAAAACATTTACGTAAAGCAATACTGTTTCAGTACGCTCTACATTATACAAAATATATCTTCACACAACCCCCTGATCGTAATTTTTCAAAATTATTAATCGTTAAACGTCTACGTGAGCTCCCTGCCCCTATATTAAAAACAAGTTAAAAGCATCCTTTGCGCATGATGCCACGGCGACCCACAGTCGCCACACAGAGAGTGGAGACTGGAGACCCCCGATGTGTGGAGTAAAATGAATTATGTGAGGCATCGTGGAAACGTCTGGCGTTCGTCAAGATAATGAACTAAGAAAACGGCATTTTTCTTCTCGTTTCGTTACTTTTACCGATTAATATTATTTCTTTTTTGCTCAATACCTTTTATGTCCATTTAAAACACATTGCTGTGTGGAATTTAAAAAAACAACAACTGAAAACCGTTGATTAAAGGCACCCCAAACGTAAATTTTCAGTCTCTAAGGACTTTCAAGCTTTGGAAGTCACCAAACTTTGGCGGCCTTTTTCTTGCAAATTTTACCCCAGAACCCAGATGACCCCTGTCTCCTTCAATCCAAAATATCTCGACTTCTACTAAATATACATGGGTAATTCTTTTAGTGGCTTTCAAATCAGGCTTCAAGATGGTACAAAACCCCCCAAACTCCATCCACCAAAATATGGGCGAGAACGTGATTCCACCGCGTCTTGAATATGTAATTTAAAGGAAGTTCCCAATTACTTGGGTTTTTTGCGTGGGCGAGGGGTGGGGTGTATCAGCTCTCTCCGGACGTATCGCCGATGATAGGGTGCCTTAGTATTGTTTTGTTTTAACATGATCCGCCATTTACAATTACTTTTTATTGTTATTGAAAACTTGGAAAGGGTTTAGGAAACGAAAACATCTAGTTTCACTTTGCAAAGCGTCGGTTTGGCGAAAAATGAATGAATTAGTCCTTGCGGTCTTGCATCAACAAAACGATGAAACCGGATTCAGTAAAAGTATCATAACTAACACAAAATTGGAATATAGTTTTCAAATAAAAAGCTGCGCTTTTAGAAATTTACGGATTATATGCTCTTGGCTTGTATATGATAGGATAGCTATGCTGGTTTGCTTTCACATGTTTGGTGATGTAATAACCTTTTCCGTGAAAATTTATTTTTCTCATCACAATCGCCATTTCGTACCCTTATAATGCATAAGTATGTTCCAAATTAATCCTTGTTTCATATTGGAATTTATTCCTCATTCAAATTCCTTCAATTTGATATATCATAATATGCTACGTTTTGAGCGATGGTTATGCTTATTATATACAGTTATTTTTACACCACCTGTGTAGCCAAAGCAAGCCACAAGTTCATTACGTCTAAGACCCCCCCAAAAACAACAACAACAACAACAACACCAAACCCCCCCCCCCAAAAAAAAAAAACAAACAAACAAAAAACCCAACAAACCTACGTCCAGAAAGAATCAAGTAGTATTTTACTGAGAAATATGATTTCCATCTTCTCGCTATAATGACCTCTTCTGCAAAGGAATGGGCTTCGGAGGCAAAACATCTAATTTGTTAGCCTCCTTGTCCTTTTAAGACAAAGACTTGAGTTCAAATTCTGCGAATGGAAGTCGTTTTCATAAAGCAGACCCGTCATTCTACTAGGATAATGTATTATGCCATCCAACTTCATACTATCTAAATAGTGCTGATGGAGGCATTTAACATTTATTAACAATTATATCATTCTTTCATGCTACACGATAACGAAACGATACTTTTAACTTCGCTATTCATAGCTCAAAATTACCACAGTTTCTGAACTGACATTTAGTTTTCGATTTGGGTCGACTTGGGAGGGAGAGGATGAATGTAAATTTGGAACAACTTTCTTTCTTCTTTATTTTGTGCTTGTTTGTTCGCTTTTTTAATTTTTACATTTTGGTGGAGTTGCGTTGGGTGGAGTTCTTTAAGTGCAACGGCATATTCATTAATATATTATAGTTTAAAACAAAATGGGCTGTACATAGTTCTTTGTTCCCAATCTTGTTTTATAAAGTACTTCATATATTATGATAAATTATTTACAGAAGCTACTACGATGCTGCAACGAATTGTGCAAGTCTTGGAGGAAAGCTGATCACGACCGACCACCCTTTCAATCTGTTCGACAAATTGAAGAATTCACGTAATTTTAAAGGTTAGTTTAGATGAGAAAGTTAATAAAAGTTTATATAGCACTAAAATAAGGCTGTTGTAAAACGTTAAAACTTCTTCTTCTTCTTCTTCTTCTTCTTCTTCTTCTTCTTCTTCTTCTTCTTCT